TAGAACAATAGGGAGAGAAGAAATATACACCATATACTGAATTTTTGCCATAATTATTTTTTTCAATGTGTTTAAAATCATCTAATTTGTTCTAGTCTAGTCAAATTTCAACAACTTTTTTCAAACTTTTAATAAAATTATATCTTTAATAAATTATTAATAAATAAATAAACATGAATAACTATATATAAATAAATGTATATAACTATTTTATTTTATCAAAAAATTGTTAATGGAAAAAATATTATTTTGCTTATAGTATGTAAACCTAAGTTTCCTTTTAAATAAATAAAACATTTGAAGATTTTTTAGAATTAATTTACTTTATTTTATTAAAAATCGACAAAAATGAATAATTTATTTAAATTTGGGACACTGATTTTAACGTTTTTAATTCTAATTTTATTAAATTTAGGTAAGTCGCCATTTTTCTTGTTGTACTACTAAGCTTCTTATAAAATAAAGTCTTCTCACTACCTACCTACTTCAGTAATTAGTTTACTTTACATTACACTGACTCTTAAAAATCCTCATTTAATATTTAAATTTAAACTAATTTTTTTATTCAACAAAAATAAAAATAAATGTTTTAAAATTAAAATAATGAGTAGATATATGGTTATATTGCCCATTAAATAATCGAAAAGGAAAAGATATTCTCAGAATTTATGAAACTGAGAAATAATAATTATAATAATATAATATAATAGAACAATAACATTCAAATAAATTAAATCATAATTTATATTTAAATTAAAAAAACTTTTTGAATTTTAATTTCAGTAATTTTGAATTCAAACCTAAAATTAAAATCCTTATTAATGTACTAATTAATTGTACTAATTCTTAAATTCTAGTGACAGATTGCGAAGGAAAACGTGGTGGTGGTGGATTTAAAAGTTCAGGTGGTTTTAAAAGCACAAAAATTCACACCAGCAACACGTACAATACAAAAATTTCTGTTACTAAGAATAAATATTACAGTGGGGGCTATAATCGCCCTTGGGGGTATGGTTACAATTCGTGGTACACCTATGGATCGTACGGCCATATTTACGGGTTTGTCTGGTACACCCAGACCAGTACGTATAGAAATAATCCTAATAAAGGTTGGTTTGTCAGTCTGTCATGTGATTGGTTGGTTTGTCTTAATTAGTAGTGAATTAATGAATGAGTGAATGAATGAATGAGTGAGTGAATGAATGATTGGTTTGGTTGAGTAAATGGATGATTAAGTGATCAAAGTGAATGAATGAATGATTGAATGAATAAGCAGATAGATAAATAATTAAATACAATAAATACGTATTAAGAGCCAACGATCTGTCGAAACGAGTTCGACAACTTGATGGACAACGGCACTCACTATGAATGGTTCATCTGCCCGTCGCAGAATCACACCAGCGATTTCCACTATTGCTGCGGCCAGCCTGACAAGGAGTATTGCTGCCGATTTGCTGATAAGTTAGTGAGAAATGCATTTTTTTACTTATTTAGCATTTTTAGTTTTGCATATTTTAATATCTAGATTGATTTTGATATAATTAATTATGAAAAACAAAGACAAATTATTAAAAACATAAATTAACTTTTAAACAAATCATTTTAAACAGTGGATGGAGAGTCTTTGGTACGAGTGCGTCGGTCGTCGTATTTTTCCTCCTATGCTGTTGCTGTTGTTATTGTTGTTGTTTCGGCTTCACGAAAGTCAGTCGCGATGGTTTTGGACAGCAGCGACAACCATATTTCAGGAGAATTTTCATTCAGAAGTTTTCAACTAGGACTGGTTAGTAAGTTTAGTTTCATAATCTCTCTCTCTCTCTCTCTCTCTCTTTCTTTTTCTTCCTTTCTCTCTCCCTTCCCTCTCATCACCATTTTCTCTCTTTCTCGTTCATCCTCCACTCTGCCTCAAATGTTCCTGTTTCAATTTTTAACATGTCATCAACATACATCATTTACAATCACAGTCACATTATATACTTTTTTGAATCATACTACACACACGCGCGCGCACACACACACGCACACACACATACACGTACACAAACACGCACACACACATACACACACAGACACAGTAATAGATCCATCGGCATCATTGGATCCAGAACTTTACCCTCCTTACCCAGCTCAACCAGCGCAGCCCACACCCTACCCGCCATTGGGCCCACAACAACAGGGCCTATTCCCTCAACAGCCACCTCCTCCAGGCTTCATCGAAGGGCCCAGTCTGGGCTTCAATCAACGGCCCTCTCCTGGATTTATCCAACAACCTCCTTATCCATCTGATGCCCCTTATTTCCCACAGGCGTCTCCAATGAATCCAGCTCAACCCTTCACAATGCCTGATCCTAATTATCCCATTAACGTTGGTCCGGTTTATCCACCACCCCCTCCCCCAGCTGCTGTCGCCAGTATCCCTCTGGCACCCCCGTCTTATGCCCCTGCCGGTCAAGGTTTGCTTTTTTTATCTTTTTTTAGGACTGTAGTTTTTTTAGTTTATTGTTATTATTGCAATTATCATTATTATTATCATTATTATCATCATCATCATTATTATTATTAAAATGTAATTAAATTAATTTTTTCACCATATTATTTCAGGGTTCGCCCTCCCCCCAACGGCACCCCCACCACCCTACAAAGAATGATCGGCGGCGATCATCCATCTAGGGAATTAGGGAAAGAACCAAGAAGAAAAGAGGGAAAATAGAAACCAAAGAATAATAAAAAAAAATTATTGTAAGAATAAAGAATAATATTAAAGAATAAATGACGATAATGTTGTTGTTAAAGTAACTTGTATACAAACAACGTAAACTTTGAAAATTTAGAAAAGTATGAAGCAAGCGACATACAAATTGCATTATTATTATTATATCTGTTGTTACTATTATGCCATATACACACACACACACACACACACACACACACACACACATATATATATATATATATATATACTCTCACACACAAAAACACACATATATATATCGTGTATTAATAATTAAGATGTTATCTATTTAAATGCCTGTATGTATGTATATGCATAGTGTGATATATATATATATATATATATATATATATGTGTGTGTGTGTGTGTGTGTGTGTGTATGTGAGAGGAGAGAGAGAGAGAGAGATCTTTTTTAAACTGCATATACCTACTCTCCAGTTGGAGCATTAATTGTAGTGACGTATAGTTTTTTTTTATTTATTGGTTTCTTTTTTAAGAATAATATGTTTATTATTATTATAATTATTGATTAATATATATACATATATAGTTATTATTATTATTTATTAATATATATATGGTTATTATTATTTTTTTTTTGTTGTTCATCAGTGTGCCCATTCCTATCTATCATACAAGCATTTTCGTTTATTTAATCTATAATTTTTTAATAATAATAATTATTATTGTTATAATTATTGTAATAATTATTATTAAATAATAATTATTATTGTTATTATTAAATAATTATTGTTATTGTTGTTTTTGTAAATTTTTTGATTCCTCTAGCTTTGAGTTTGGATTTTATCTACATTCTTTAAGGTGTTTTGTTTTAAAAGTTTAAAATTGTTACCATCTTTCGTTCGTTTATTTATTTATCTATCCATTCAGTCTATCTATCTATCTATCTATCTATCTATCTATCTATCTATCTATCTATCTATCTATCTATCTATCTATCTATCTATCTATCTATCTATCTATCTATCTATCTATCTATCTATCTAATCTATCTGCCAGCAAGTTCTCTGGTTAACCCCCAGAACAGTATTACTACTACTACTACTACTACTACTACTACTACTAATTCATTCATTATCTAATTCGTTCTTTCATTCGTTCATCCATAATAGTTTATTTGATTATAAAATTTTAGTCTATCTTCATTATCTTGTTCACTGTGCACTTTTTTAGTGTCACACACACACATACACATACGTACATACACACACATACACATACGTACATACATACACATACATAAATACGCACACATACATACATACACACTACATAGTTAGCGCTTCTGAAGCTATTCAATAGGGGCACTCCACAAATCCTTAGATACAGATACACACAAATACGTACATACACACACATACATGCACTGCACATACAATGACACACGCACATACATGTCTTACAGATATAATTAAATAAATATTGCCAGCATCTAAATCTGTTGATATTGTTATTTATTATTATTATTTATTATTTTTTATGACTATAATTATTTCTTTATGTAAATTATGAACAATGTATTAATATTGTGTAAAATTAGACAATAAAAAATCACTGCAAAATATGACCATGTCACTCCAATATTTCGCCTCTGATGTTTAATATTCTGAATGGATTGTCTCCGAAGAATTTAGTTGAGGCTCTGATTGGACTCGCTCCGAAGTATTTGGCTGATAGATGCGGTCCTAAGGCGACGTTTTCAAAACCATATAACTTACGTCGTGACGATAAAAACTTGGTGGACCATCCAACGTCACATCCGAAGATTGCTTCATTGCTGACACAGAAGTTTGAAATAGTCTACCGGGCTACTTGCTACAACCTGCTCTATCTGTCAAGAATTTTAAAAAGCTGTTCGATCTCTTAAGATCAATGAAAGGTTTTCTCGACATAAATTGTTTTAATCATTGTTAATGAGCGCTTTTGAGATAATTTAAAAAGTGTATACTAATACTAATTTAAACACGAGTTTAAACCCTTTATTTACAGAATTTATGCGAATGTAACAGAAAACATTAAATTGAAAAACAAGTAAATGAAACATTTTTAACAAACGATTTGAAGTCGAAAGCGAACGAATGAAAGAACAGAACTACAATTTTCCATGAATAATTCCATTCAAGTTCGTAAAACTTCATCAATAGCATAGAAAGAAAACTTATCGCCACCATAGAAAGAAAACTCACCCACCATAGAAAGAAAATTCACCACCCACCACCATAGAAACAAAATTTGTCTATTTGCTAAAATGTAGATGAGGTCCAGCATACTTCCTCGAAAGTCCTAACCTCAACGATCGATTAGTGCACTGGGGGATTCTCATTACTGGACTGCTCACAGGTCGGCCGGCGTTTAGGCTGTCTGTAATTTAATTAGGGGATGGATTGATAGTTGAAAACGAATGAGAAAATACATACATTATGAATGAATGATGAAGAAACAAGAATGAAACGAATACAATTCACATCAAACAAAGCAATGAGAACAGGTGAATTATACATTCTTCAAAGTTACTTGATCTTAGAAATTCTTTAAACTGATGTAAAACCTGAAGATCAATAACATCATCATAATCATCACCGCCGTAATTATCATCATCACCACCATCGTTACCACCACGACCGCGATCACTATCAGGAATAATATTTTTCATTCTTGTATCATCTCTCTCTCTTCCTACTATCATTCTCCTTTTCTTTTTTGGACTCACTCCATCATCATCGTCCTCATCCACATTATTATTATTATTGTTATTATTATTATTGTTGTTGTTGTTCTTCTCGGGAAAAGCCCAAGCATGTTTTACTGGAGCGTTTTTAACCTTGCATTCATTATCTGCAATAGTGGAATAGTGAAAGTAATTAGAGGATAATATAAATAATAATAATAATAATGGCAAATACAATAACAACAACAATAATATAATAATAATATAATCATAAACGTAATATAATAATAATAAAAAAAAACATTACCTGCTTCATAAAAAGACCGATGATTATTTTCGCCATCATCATCATTGCCACCGCGATCATCATCATCATCATTGTATTTCTCTTTATTATTATTATTATTATTATTATTATTATTATTATTATTATTATTATTATTAGAGATCTCGATATTCAATGTGGTTTCTTCCAGCCACAAATTATTATTATTATTGGCATTATTATTATTTATATTATTATTATCATTATTATTATTGTTGTTGTTGATGATGAAATTGTTGTAATTGCTATTACGTCTGTTGAGTTTCTCCAGGTCTAACTCCACAAGACCATTGCCATTCCCAACATTCACATTATTATTATTATTATTGTTATTATTATTGTTATTATTATTGTTATTATTATTATTCTTCTTATTATTATTGTCATTATTATTATTGTTATTATTGTTGTTCCTGTCCATAGATGTATCTCCAAGATCTTCATTAATATAATTGTGATTAGTTGTTACATTGTCATTACAACCATCATCATCATCACCATCATCATTATCATTACCACCATTATTACTGTTATTATTACCATCATCATCATCATCATCATTATTATTATCATTAACATTATTATCATAATTATTATTATTATTATTAAACCCATAGTTAGCGTTACGGTAACCACCACCATCATCATCATCACCATCCGGGGTATCATCGTCATCATCATCTAGGGCGTCATCATCACTATCATCACCATACTTGTTACGGCCTACATTGTTTCCATTATAATTGATAATAGTAATAGTATTACAGATTTCATTACCATTATTATTACTACTATTATTATTATTGTTATTATTATTATTATAAAGATCTTCATCATCACCGCCATCTTTTGCATTATCATCATCACCATCGTCGTCGTAATTAAGTCCAACTTTATTATCATTATGGTAAAAATTGCCATAATTATCTTCATTAAAATTATTATTATTATTGTTGTTGTTGTTACTAACATCAATGTTATTATTATTATTGTTGTTGTTGATGTTGTTGATGCAACTATCAGTTAGGATGTCACCATTAATAATATTTTTGTTGTCAAATTTATTATCACCATCACAATCATTATAAATGGATGGAAAATTATGATGATGATGTTGAAATTGTTGTTGATGATGTTGTTGTTGTTGATGATGATGATGTTGTTGTTTTTGAGGTTGTAGATGATGATGATGATGACCAAGTTCATTCATTTCTTTTTCCATTCTTTCATTCATCTCATTCTCCATTATTGCCATTTTCATGTAGTAGTCGTATAAACTGTAGTTGTTGTTGATGTTGTTGTTCACGTTGTTGTTGTTGTTGCTGTAACCACTGTTATCGTTGGCAGTCACATTACCTTTGTCATATTCATCCCCACCATCATCATCATCATCATGAACATCATGATGATCATCATCATCATCATGAACATCATGATGATCATCATCATCATCATGAACGACATGAACATCACCATCATCATCATGAACATCACCATCATCATGAACAACATCATCATCATGAACAACATTATCATCATGAACATCACCATCATCATCATCATGAACAACATCATCATCATGAACAACATCATCATCATGAACATCACCATCATCATCATCATGAACAACATCATCATCATGAACAACATCATCATCATGAACATCACCATCATCATCATCAT